CCCCCCCCACTGCCCTGTGTTACTGACTGTATCTATACTGATGTTAATCCCTGTCCCTCGCACTGCCACTCAGTAACCCCTCTCCCCCCAGCCCCCTGTGTTACTGACTGTATCTGTACTGATGTTAATCCCTCTCCCTCACACTGTGACTCAGTAACCCCTCTCCCCCCCAGCGCCCTGTGTTACTGACTGTATCTCCACTGATGTTAATCCAGCTCGCTCACACTGTCACTCAATAACCCCTCTCTCCCCCATCCCCCTGTGTTACTGACTGTATCTGTACTGATGTTAACCCAGCTCCCTCACACTGTCACTCAGTAACCCTTCTCCCCCCAGCCCCCTGTGTTACTGACTGTATCCCTACTGATGTTAATCCCTCTCCCTCACACTGTCACTCAGTAACCCCTCTCCCCCCACCCCCCTGTGTTACTGACTGTATCTGTACTGATGTTAATCCCTCTCCCTCACACTGTCACTCAGTAACCCCTCCCCCCAGCCCCCTGTGTTACTGATTGTACCTTTACTGATGTTAATGTAGTTGTATCATTGACTGTCCCTCTGTTTCCTGTCTCTCTGCAGGTATCTCCTTCTGTTTCCTGGAGCCTTCCCCCCCCCACACTAGTCCCCCCGCCTCCCCCCCGCCCTCCCTACCGTGATGAGACATGCCTCAGCCCTACTCCCTCCGCAGCCCCTACGTGGGACCCCCGCTGCCCGGTTCCATCACCCCCAAAGTCGCCCGCCGCCCGCTGACAGGGTCAGGAGTCGGGGGTCAGAGGGTACCCAGCCAGGAGCGGCTGTCGGGGGGCCGGGGGCCGGGTCCCCAGCCTGGGAGCAGGCTGGCCGCCTACCAACACCGGCCCCCAGCCCCTCCTCACGGCAAGCCGCGTCCCCTCCCCCCGGGCCCGGGGCCCCTGGACGAGAGAGGCCGCAAGCTGGAGGCCAAGGGGAGGTCAGGACGCAGCAGTAGGGAGTCAGCCCCCTCTTCCTCAGCCGCGGCCCCTAGCCCCGGCGCCGCCAGGCGTGCGCCACTGCGGGCTGACCGCACCCTCGGGGTTAAAGGCCCCCCCCCATCCTCCACAGCCTCCTCCTCCTCCTCCTCCTCATCCTCCTCCTCGTCCTCCTCGTCCTCCTCCCCCCCCTCCCGGCGGAAGGCCAGCCTGGGCGGCGGAGGGGTAGGAGGGGCAGCGACGGTCTCTCAGGCCCCCGGGTCTGTCCACGCCGATCCCTGCGCTGGGCTCCACGAGCCCCAGGAGCTGCAGGAGTGCCTGCGCAGGCTCGGCGCCGCCCGTCTTCGCCGATCGCCCTCCCTGGGGCGCCTGCCCACCCGGCCCGAGCCCGCCCCTGCCCAGCCTCCCCCCTTGCCCCCACCCTCCATCAAGCGCAGCTCCTCGCTGCGGGGCCTGCGGCAGGAGGTGGAGGCCCCCGGGGCTGGGGCGACACCGCGGCCCATCCAGTTGGACATCCTGCCGGGTCCCTCCAGGGTCCAGGGGAGCGGCAACGGCCCAGCTCGGAGCCAGGACGGGCAGCGGGAGACTCGGCTCCAGGAACAGCAGGTGAGAGTGTTTCCTTGTACACCCTCAGCACACCGATCCCCCTCACTCACCCAAATCGTCACCCTCCCTACCCTGCTCCCAGAACCATCACCCACCACCACCACCACCTTCCTTCTCTATCCCTCTCCTCCTCCTCCTGACCCACCTCCCACTGCTCCCCCCTCACTGCTCCCCCGCTCACTGCTCCCCCCTCACTGCTCCCCCGCTCACTGCTCCCCCGTTCACTGCTCCCTCCTCACTGCTACCTCCCCCTCACTGCTACCCCCCTCACTC